CAACTGTGTAAGACATGGGTGGGTGGGGCGGGTTGTGGTGTGTCTGTTATGGTGGGGGACGTAACCGACTGTTTCTTTTTTGTTGTTGATTGAGCTGACAGAAGACAGGGCAAACAGAGGAGGGTAGGGTGCACGAGGAAGAGGAGGAGGAGCGGGTGAACTAATCCCACCTGGGTATTGTGTTGCCTTTCTTTCTACCTACAGCCGCATACATTTACGTCAACAGAAAGCCTTCCGGTGAATGTCCGTTCGGCTTACCCGTGCCGAATTCTTAATCGAATTGTGAACACTTGAGTGTTGATCCGTATGTGTGCGCTTGTACACACACACACACACGTTGTCTTATGATAAATTATGCGCGCTACAAATAACAAAAGCAGGAGTAGACTAAAACTGTAACAAGTTTGTACATATTCCCAAGTGTTTCAATCTTCCCGGAAAGTTGATTTGTTGAATAGGCAGGGAACACAGATTTGCAGAATGCGTTTCAAACAAAGAAAAACAGAGAACCACACAGAGAAGACAAAGAAGGCATTGATACTGTCGAGACAAGCAGCGGTGCGGTGAACGACTAAAGGCTCGTCGCACATAAGGAGAACAAAACGATAGTCCTTTTTTGCGAAAACGCATTTAGACACGCGTGCGTACAAGCTCAGAAATGGGTGCACAGTCAGTCGGAGATGTCCGGTTGGATCCCTCAGAAACTGGGTAAGTATCATCTGTGAAATGCCAGTGCATTCTGTTCCGATCTTATTTGTCCAGAGCTACCAAGTGACTGGTATGTATAAATTCGATCGAAAAACGAGGAAAAAGTTCAAAGTTTTGTTGCTTATGCGAACCCAAGTTGGCGTGTGACCCGCTATTTCGGAATAGAACAACCCAAATGAAATTGCCCCATCCGGACAATCGAGAGTCATACTTAGAAGTGGTAATAATCGAATAAATAAATTATTCTTAACAAGCATGTACATATGAATGTATTCGCATTATAATAGATTGACCTAGAACACACAGGTCCGCATACGCTGTTTATTACCAATGTTGTTTTGACCGCAAATGTGAAATTTCTGTGAAAGTTTTTTTATACAACTCCGTCTGTCCCTGGTGTAACGTATTAATAGTGTGTACTGTTCTCGGGGGCCCGAAAACCTCACCCTCAAGCTACTCGATCGGCGATCGATACCAATTACTGAAATATGCTCCTGGTTTAGTCCATGCCAATTGGTAGACATCAGGGTAGGCACGCACTTGTTGTTCTTGTGTTGGTCTCTATCCGTTTAGTCCCTCACTTTCCCGTATCAAACCTATGTTTAAATATAGTGCAATGCTCCATACGTAGTTTAACAGAAAGTTAACCTTTGATAAGACACCGCGAATTCAAAAATCAGAACTAATGAGTAGGGATTCGATTGTGTATGATAAAGCGAGTGACGGAGAGGCAGAGATGAAACGTTTGATGAATTAATGGTTTCCAAATGAATATGATAAGTCCAAATGGACAAAATACGTTGAGAAATTCGACCCAATTAGGAGAGGTGCTCCACCGTTGATCTATGAGAAATACGGGTGCCGGAATCGAGCGGCCTTAGATGCGAGAAAAATTGTTTTCTGACATAACCGGAATCAAGCGAAACAGCTAGTCTGGAGACTCAATTAATCTTGTTCCCCCCTCCCCCCCTAATAAGACATCATTATTCAAGGAGACTAACTTCAATCTGCACCAAACTTAACTTTGAAAATGGTGTAATAAATCGTAAATGATTTCCTTCAGAAAATTTTGATTAATCATTTATAGAAGACGGCAAATGACGTTAAGTCGGACTAACTCCGGAGAGAATGATCTCATTCCTTCGAAACGGGCACGAGTATGAGTTTACAAAGGAGGACAACAGAGGAGAGAAATCAGACGTTTCGCTTGTTACCTAGCAGTCAAGTTATTCCAATTTATTCTTTTTTCTCACAGAAATCGCGAAAACATTCAAATGCACACAATCACGACAATACCCTACAATTGGCTTTAATCTGCACCATCGTTAGGCACTCCTTTACCTCATGTTCACCTAATCGTCACTTGTTGTGATTTCGTTCACCAGCACACACATCAGCTGCCAAACGGTCAAACGGCTGGCGTTATTGTGTTCTCTTCCCGTCAGATACTGGGTTCAACCTGCTAATGAGTCCCCCATAGTATGGAAACAGATATGCAGTGCTTCTTTGTCTTTCAGCTCATATTTCTTTTGCTCTGTAAACCACGCAAACCATCACAGATCTCTTTTCCTACCACAAGATCAGTCATGGATTTTAAGTTTTCACTTAACTATCGTAAAGCATACTCAATGTTCATAGGTTAATTGACTGGAAAGAGTTTCCGACAAGAGAGTTGGTTCATCCTAACCACGAACAAGTTTTCTCTCCTTCTCATGACGGTTAATCCAAACATATTATGACGAATCGAAAACTTGTTCCACGATGCTATTTACAACCTTGTGCATGCAGCACGAAAAGATCGCAAAGAACAGTACACATGCAATAATCGCAGTCACATGATGTCATGCACTGATTTGCTATGACCCTCCAGCTTGTACGCCGTTCCTAGCGCGACGATGAACTGTAGAGTGAGGCTAGTTATTATTTGCGGCTTACAAACCACAAACAAATCCAGTTGGAATGGACTCAATAGGAGTTATTAAATACGAAAATACCGAAAATCACCACATCTCGGCATTCCCTTTATTCCTTTCACACATTGATTGTGATGGGCGATGTGGAAACTTGTTAGCAAAAACTGGAGAACAAAGGACTGACTAATTCCGCCCCATACCGAAAGAATTCTACTGAACAGAAAGAAAAAACAATGGATGCATCCAGTCAGTACAGAAGGAAATTGATACTCACTACTGCTGTAATACGTGGCTCATTGTTGTCAATTCCAGATCAAGCTAATTCAATTGAGTGATTTGGTACATCCGAAGATGTATGTTGCATGTCCTACAAAATGACAGAATTTAAACAATCACCCAAAGGAATCGAAAAATTTGTTACGTGGTAAACTTCTGGAGAAATTAAGGGCAAGTCGCATGCAGTTAAATCTGCTTCAATACACTTGAAGCAGAGCTGGAGAGCGAAAATTCGGTAACTCATGGGCAACAGGCGGTGTGCTGTCAGATCATGTGGTGAGTGATGTCAACACTGGGTTGCTCACGTGACTAAAAATTAATAAGGAGGGATCATTCCACAATGAATGTGTTAAGCGTAGATTCTATAAAACGAATTCCTCAATAGTTCGGGGGAGGAGCCATAGGAGATCGGAGCTACGCCTTATCTGAGAAAATGCGAGACTTCTCGTCTTCTTAGCGTCCACATTTAATGTTTGCTTACTGCCGGTTTTGGGAAAACTTAATAGCTTTATCGATATGTGTGACGAATCAGCTGATCGTCTGGCCCTGGAGGTGATTGCTAATCAAAGCGTGTTACTCTTAATATTTCCATACAGAAATCTCCTGTGTTGTGTGTGTGTGTGCGTGTGTGTGTGGAAGACGGTTTTTCTCGAGCGCGTAGCAACACAAATTCACTAAACCTGACTCACCTAGATTGATTGGACCTACGACAGTTCTGTAATACCGAGGTATNAAATCCTTTGTCGTCTACTCTACGATGTAAATACAACCCGGTTACCATAGATGCTTCAAGTAGACTAGTTCGGTAAACTTTCTGAGTTTCATGCACTAAGTCTCATTTATCCAAG